TGTGACTTTTCATTAAAAACCTCGAGAACAATTTGACCTGCCAGATGATTTGCACGGTCAGCACTGTAATATATGCATTTGCTGTGTGTGTGTTTCTTTTCATTAAAAACCTCGAGTTGTTGATTAATAAGTGCTATATCGTGACGATGGCAACTAGTAACACCATTCGGTCGAATTAATCGACGTCACGTATATGTACAAATGCTCTCTCTGACCCAAGTCCAATACGACCGGCTATAGGCAATGAAGATAAGCCTGAAAATAAAGATATGCCTGTACGAGCATCATACTTGCATTGAGATGTGGATGTAATGAAGTACTGCGATAACATCTCCTATAGTCTGAATCGGGTCTTGCATGCACTACAACAAGACAATACACTCAAGCATGTTAAAAGCAACAGCCACAGATAAAACATCCCACAAGCAGTGCATTCGAGCAACTACGAGTTAGTCTGAGGCCAACTACCTACCTGGCCTTCGTCAGAGAGTACACTGGCATATCCTTCCCTAGTATCATTCGTGGCCGCTCTATCAACAGCGCGTTTATACTGTGTACATAGTTGATAACGTGTGATATTTTGAAAAGAAGCAGCATCAACAAAGCATGGCTAACAGAGTTAACCCCAAGGAATTCAGTAATATGCAAAAGAAGGGGAAGGACCTGGTATATGTCGGGGTACAAATTGCAGCGAGCACAGATATAAGCCCATGCTGCATGGTAAGAAAAAAATCGCAAAATATATGTCGCACACGGCGCTGATTTAGTGGCATGGCTCATATGCGACACAAGTGCGATATGCTCATAAAATCTACCACAGTACAAACTGGTTACATGCGGCTAGATCCAATGTCATCTGTAGCATTACGTAAGCAGACAGTAAGCTTGTCCATCTTACCCAACTGGCATACCAACCGATTTCGCCACATAAACAATGGTCTGGATCACATCCCAAACCATTAATTATGCCCAACGTCGCCACCACAAAAAACGTATGCCGATGATCAACAGAACAACGTCACAAGGTATTCTACACTTATGGTAGCAAAAAGCGTACGCTTGCATGCTAGATACAAAGCTCAGCAAATCATGGGCTGAGTCGTGACAATATATGACAACTTACATTCAAAAATGACTGCAAACCGCACGGCGCAGAGGAATGCTTACGCAGCATACACTGTCACGCACATTACCATTGCGACAAATTGACACGACAACTAGCATCAAATAAATATGATAGTATGTATATATGTATGTGTGCATACATATATGGATTGGCATATGTATGTATTTTTTTCAAATAAGAATGTATACACACAAAGCTATATAGGAACAGAAATGGTACATATACATAAAAATAAGGTCAATATAAATAAACAATAATAAGCAAGCATTTATACTACTACATTTAGCCTACGTTCAGACTGTAACTCGACCTATCATAGTCCTAAAATGTATCTTCAAGTTTCAGAGCGCCCGTTCGAAAAACTCGCACCACGGGCGGAAACACTGCTTTCACGTATATAAATATATGTGACGACGCAGTTCAGTGTGCGCAGCAATTTATATGTGGTATAATATATTCAATATATGACGAGTGAAGCGACCCTTGAGATCATCACCGATATAATATAATCAAACCTATATAACAAATTCCAATCCAATTTCTAAAGACGTGTTATTCACAGAGGTAGATATTAACGGTATACAGATCTGCACCGCCCGTCAATCGATGTAGCACAATAGCCGATGTGTGCTACTCATAACAGGGTTAACATCACTTAACCGATCCTGTGATAGATTCACATATGTGTAAAACAATTACTATAACTCCTGAAATGCATAGTCAACAACTAAAACACACATATTGTATTAACTATACACAACAAATAACTAAAGGGTATAAGGAAAATAACATACCGCTATTCTTGCTTCACCATTCAGTAACTTTTTCAACGCTTCCGAGTCGGCTTCCGCCTGTTGCATTAATTGCTTGTTACCCTCCACATTCCCATACTTCCTGTCGACAAACCCGACTAGAGCTCGTCCGAGGTCACGACTGTCTTTAGTGGGGTCTTTGGGCCAGCTCTTGACTATATTTCTCAGATTTTTCAACATGGTATATGATGTATAATGACTCAGAGTAGATACTTGTACTATTATGCTTATATCTAGATGTCCAACACGCCTATGTATTCTTATACTTTTTTAGATGCATTACAATGCAGCGCTCATATGGTGTCTATAGTGTAATATATACATTCATATTATATTTATGTAAATATGGTTTTCGTATTTACATCGCTCTCATCGAGAGCGGAAATGATGACAAGGAATATGAGTCATCCACCGGGTGTGTGTATGTAGAACAATGTGTGGGTTTCATCGATGTTTGTTTTGAGGAAATATAAGTATATCGCAAATACCTATTTCGATGTCGTAATTTCATTTCTAGTCACGGTATGTAGTCCTTATGACACTAGATAGTAAACGACATTAGTATAATTAAGATATACATGGAACTGGTGTCACAATACGATTGCTGATTTGGCGAGCCAGATGTGATATGCACATAATTTTATAATGTGATTTCAAAATTCAAATGCTGCTGCTTTGTTCTCAACGAGAGGGAACTATTTTAAAAACAGTTTGATAAAGTCTTACGATCCAGCATAGCTGAACCACAAATACACGGATAGGTTGAAGACAGTTGGGCAAGTAGTTATGCCATTGCCCGTGAGCGAAGGGGAGAGCCCTTTGCGTCTTTTTTCTGACTGTCGGGAGGAAATTTTGGCTCAGTTCGAAAAGTTAAAAGATATAACCAATGAAACAGAGCATATTCTCGAGGCCTATGAGAAATTTAGCCACCATGAAACGAATCTTGTGGCTTTGTGTATGTTATATGAGAAGCAATACCATGCCTATTCTGCTTTATATAAAGATATAGTTTTTCCGGAATGTAATGTTATGTCTATTCGGTGGATGTGTATGGTTTGTAATACAAGGTGACACTTATGTGTATGGTTTGTAATACAAGGTGACACT